ATTATCAACTACTTAGGGAGACAGAAGCACTTTTGATATATCAAAAACACTGAATGAAAGTTAAATATTATTTCAACTATGAAGATGTGTTCTCTTTATTTACTACATGGGAAATAGGATGCCTGGCACACTGCAGACTCCAATACATACTTTTTAAAAATTGTCTCTATACATGTACATGTGTTTACTTGGCTTCCACTTTTTGCCTTCACAACATTAAAGAGGCTTAAAATTTAATAATAATAACAATGTTCAAGATAAGGACGAGAAACAAAAACCTCGTAAAGAACGAATGAAGATAAGCGCATTCGGAAAAGAAATCAGATGACTGCTACAATGAAATATTGAACAATAATAATAGTAATAATGCAAAAAAGGTAACATTCACATTATCAGATCAAATTACGTCTATCATAGAATGCTTTGACTCTGAGGTTCAGTATGGAGTCATCAGTTTCTAATACATATTTTTAAATGAATAAATGTAGGAAGATGTCAATAAAATTCATAGGTTAGGCTCGCATGTTAAGTATAATATATGGATAGTAATGCTGAGTATTCTGAGAGAATGTGAATCTTAATGTTTATTAACATTTTTAGGAAATGTCATTTCAGTCCAAGATTATGCAAGTATAGATTTTTTTAAAAAGTATCTGTAACATAATAGATTTTGCTGTACCACTGTTACTTATAACACAGGCTATAACCAACCTAACACCTAAGTGTATTAAATGCCTATGGAAATGACTGTCAAGTTACAGAGAATCATTATGGTTAAAGGACAAGCTTCAGGACTGCAAGGAAGTTTCTTTTTAAAAGCTCTTTTGCAGTAATTAATAAAGAAGGTTAAGATATAGATCTTCAGATGCCATGAGGAAAAGGAAAATTGAAAGCTCTATCTCTAAATTACTTTTAAATGGAACGTTACAATTTATTTTTTATATATATATTTTGCTACTTAAAAGTATAAATGACAATTCTCACAAATTGTGGCTTGGAGATACCTTTTCCATTTGAGAAATAAAATAGAAGACAATCCAATGCCTTAAAAATGTCAAAGGGGGGTGTGTGTGTGTGTATGTGTGTGCATGCACTTATGGGCGTGGTGAGGGACGGGAGGTAAGAATGCACACACCACATTGAAATCTCTCAGGAATATCTGACCTAAACATTTTTAGAAGGAAGACTCTAGACTGGCAGAATTAACAGCTGACCTTTTACTTATGACAGTTTTAACAAAATGAATCTATCCCTGGTATCAGTATATTTATCCAGTATTTAAATTAGTTATCATAATTTAACGTTTATCCAATTTACTTTCCAAATCCACACTCTCAAAAGTTTCATGACTACAGACTTCCTTGTCCCCAAGTCAGACTTCATTCTCTCCTCCTTAGCTGCAGTTCAGAATGCAGCATCCAACTTTCCTAACCACGCCCAATGAAAGAAGCAAAAGTTAACAACAAGACACCCAACCTCAGGGCTATAAGCTAAGCATTTCTCATGTCCTGGAACATTTTACAAAAATGAACATGTGTTACAAAGAACTTAATAAATGAACATCAATCTATTTGGGCAAATTTATGATAAAAAAGAGGTAACAGAAATAAAGGTATGGGTTGAAAAACAAAGCATATGCCCACTTACGGGATTTCTACAGTTGCTAGAACTTACTAATATTATCAAAGAAAACACTTGTCACCAAAACTTAATATTCATTTAAAAACCAGCACTTACTTTAAAATGTATCAGGGAGCAAGGACATAGGCTATGCAAGTCTGAATACTGGGTCAGTCATTTACCAGCACCTATCTTGACTTTTATCTATAGGGAACCTGGCTCCTTTATATGTCAAAGAAGAAACCTGAGAAGGAAAATCCCTTCTAAGGATCCAAACTCAAATGAACATCAGTTTAGCAAGTGTCAAACAATCCTCCTAACAGCATTGGAGGCAGAGCTTGTTAAAACTCCAGGAAAATTCCTGGTGGTTTCTCAATCTCACTCCACTGGCGTCTACGTAAAGTAGAAAACTTGCTCACAGGGGAAACTTTCTGCCTAGCAAAATATTTAGCGACCCTGTAACTATACTGGCTATATCAGGCATATGTTACCATATTAAAGAAAATCAAACCTTCAACGTATAGTAAAATACTGTAATTCGTGAATTTTATGCTATAAATTCCCACAGGAATGAATCGGAGCTCCCTAGGGAAGTAAATCCTTTACCCATTAGCACTTCTTGGTGTCAGGTCCTATTTGACAGAAGACTGAGGCAGTACTCATTTCCTAGCTTTTTTACCGTAACATCTCCATCACCAAATCTCAACCACAAGAGGAAGGAAAGAGTAGGGCAGCACCTGAGGCTCAGTGGGTAGGGCGCTGGCCCCACATACTGAGGGGTGGTGGGTTCAAGCCCAGCCCCAGCGAAACTGCAACAAAAAGATAGCCAGATGTTGTGGTGGGTGCCTGTAGTCCCAGCTACTCAGGAGGCTGAAGCAAGAGAACTGCCTAAGCCCAGGAGCTGGAGGTTGCTATGAGCTGTGTGATGCCACAGCACTGTACTGAGAGCGATAAAGTGATACTCTGTCTGTACCAAAAAAAAAAAGAGCAGTTTTGTCAAACTTAGTATAAATTCTGGGCATAGGTTTTAGGAAGCCCACATCTCTCATCTTTAGTAACTTTGGACATAAAAAATAAGCATACTATTAAATATTAAATTAATTTCAAATATTTGCTGCCACTGCTAAACTATGTGTAATTTTTTTCAAAAGACTTTTTAAAGGAAAGGAAGACTATAATTATAACTGATGTTGAAATTACAGCCTACTTCCATCACTTAATGATTACTGTGGGGTCTCCTGCTACATGAGACCATGTGTTCTTCTGAAGACCTCGGCAGAAATTCACCAACGTATGACTCCAAAACCAAGTCCCGAATTTCATTTTGTCATTCTATTGAATGTTATAATTGTATGCAATTCATTTCCATGATAACATTAAGTAAATTCACAATTATATTTATAAGCTACAATGAGGTGGAGTTTATTGGCTGAATGTTGATGTCATTTACCAATTAGTTCTCACTGACTATATCAATAAATATTTGTACTATCATACTCTTCTCCAGCTCAAAGAGAATGCTGCAAGTCTTTGAATTTACAAATCAATGGGATATTCAGTAACATGAAGGCACATAAAAGATTCCTGTGTTGTGTTTTAACTGAACAACAAAAAACGTGTATTATGTGTTATTTCAAATTTTCAAATACTAGTAACTAAGTAAGCTGTTACCTGGAGTTGTCTACAAAACACAAAGTCACCTGCTTTACTGCATCTTCCTATTAATTTAACTGTTTAATTTACTTTTATTCACTACTTATAAATTCATAACCTCTCTATTCCAAGTGCCAGAGAGAAAAGACAAGAAGACTAGCTGAAGGAATAACTAAAATGACAAAAAGTGTTTGCTCTGAATTGCAAGAAATGGACACTTAACAATACAGAGAACATTTCACCTGTAGCTGTACCTTACCTTAGAAGAATATAGAAAGCCATTAATTATAAACGTGATTCTTCATTCCTAAAACTGCTAAAGCAAACATCAAAGTAACATGGTTGGAATGCAATGTATCAAACCTGAAATGTGTAGGGTTTCTATGACACAGTAGCACAAAAGCATGGGAATTTCTTTCCAAAGGTACCTAGTAATCTTCATGAGCCTTACATTAGAAATACATTTTGATGGGGGCGGGGGGAGGGTTGGTCATGGTGTATGGCACAGCTCTTGGGGATGGGACACAATTATAAGAAGGACTTTACCTGACAAATGCAATCAGTGCAACCTAATTCTCTGCACCCTCAATGAATTCCAAACAATTAAAAACATAAAAAGAAAAGAAATACATTCTGAGAATATCTACTACTCCAAATATGGTAGAAATAACACTCTGAGAATCTCTTAATTGCAGAAATATTTACAGCAAACTCATATAATTCATGTTCAAATACTCAAGAATTATACTCAGAATTATATAGAAAACTTCAAAGAAAACTTTAAAACTTTAATAAAAATATAATTACACCAGTACTTCAATTATACTATACCATGGGATGGCTTTAAGGTGGGTTTGGGCACTGAGGGGATAGACACCATGGTGACCACATGAGTGGCCCATTAAGAGCATGTTCCACAGATTCTGTTTTCTTTTTTTTTTATTTGAAATCAGCTAAGGTTTATCTAAAATGGTGTTTGGTTTTTAAATTTGAAACCAGGTAAGCAGTCTCTACCTCGAGTTTCAGAAGCCCTCTACCAAAATTCACTCTAAAAAACGTAGCATCGTTATAATAAACTTATGTCTCATTCCAAAAGTCCCCAATGAGATGATAGGCATCTCGGAGGAAAACAAATAAGATTTCACTTTAAAAACAGAAAAGGGAACCAATGTCACAAAACTGGTTACAAATAATAACTCTTCAACCTTTAGTAACAGGTTAAGAGATTATTTTTATAATTATTTTTACTAAATACTTTTCAATTGGGGGGTAATGAAGAAAGTATCCAAGAACTGTACTCTTTTATTTTATCGCATAGCATGTTGAAGTTACACACGTTAACACTGCCATTCCCAGTCACCGAAGCTTCACGGAGGAAGGAGAACCACCTTGACTCTTGCTTAAATAAAGACATTCAGGAGAATGTAGCTACCATGCTCAGAACACTGCAATGAGGAGTCTAAAACTAGCAAGCGACTCTTCTGCTTAACTGTTTTTCCTGTAAACAGTCCTTTGGCTCTTTCTCCCAAGGGAGAAAAAGTGTATAGGCTCTGTCTGCTCAGAATGAATCAGGCGTATTTTAAAAGGTCACCAGTGGTCAAGTCGTTTTGCATTTTTGGCAGATTCTTGCTTCAGATACCAGTTGCATTAAACTAGGGAGCCCCATCAAACCTGGTATCGGGGCTGCCCATGTAGTCATGTTCTTTATTACATGCCATGCTAAGTACCTGTGAAAGGGGGCACTCCTTGGCCAATGAACTCTGATTCATATCTTTCAGTAAGTCCTTCAGAGCATTCCTCACTGTGGTGTGCGACCATTGTTCGGGAGGCAAGTCTTCTAGTTTGGGGCAACTATTGGAGACATAGATTAGAAAGGGGATTATTACAAGATTGCATCCCGCTGCAGAACATTCCTTTAAGACAGACAGATTTCATTTTGCGCATCAAACAGATGCATCTGGAGATTGCTCTCGGTCTCCTGATTGTTCCGATTAGTTAATTACTTTATACAACACATCTGCTGTATCGATGCATGAATTATACATCAGCTGCCTGTGGTGGCTATTTTTTCATGTTACTTCTACCTTCCTGCTCTGATGCGCTTGGGAAGACAATTTAAGGTGTACTGCTTTCTCACGAGCCATCGTGAAAAGCATTAACGTATTAACTGATTTCCTTTCACTGCTCTGTTCATACGAATTAAAATGGTAAAAAAAAATTTATATAAATAAATAGGATCGTGGAAAGAGTGAATAAGACATTCTTTCAGAAAACGTACACAGATGGCAATGTTCATGATATGCAAAAATATTTTTTTCTTAAGTAAACTTTATGTAAAATGCCTTCTTGTAATGCATCATTTAATTCACTAAATGTAAAAAGTCTTGCCTTTTGATAACCTGCATAAACCTACAAATCTGGGGGGTGGGGTTGCTTTTAAATTTTTGATTGGAGTTAGGGGCAAAAAGCAGAAGAGATAATGTAACAAAACTGATTTGGATAATCTTCCTTAAAACATAGGGTAAATAAAAACTGAAGGCTGACCAGAGATACTGTATTTCAAAACACCAGGTAAGAACATTTTACACAGAATTGGGTTTTGACTCACCTGTGTAACTGAATTTTCAATGTGACCACATGATATACGTCTTGAAGCATATCTGCTACTGTAGCATCAGGGGCATCTGTCACATAAGACAGTGGAACTGGATTCCACTTTCCAACCTGGATTAGCCCTATTCCAGATAAAGAGAATATGTCACTAAATATTTTACCCTCAGATAACGTATCTAGTAGAAGGTTGGTTTTTTTTTTTTTCTATTGCCCCCACCACGAGCAATATTGTTATTTGTTTGAATGATTCCCTTCCCTCTAAAAGGCAGGTCAATGAAAATATTCACAGCTTAGCTTTCCAAATTGTGAAATTATGTAAATGACTGTAGGGTTGTTTATTATTTTGGAAATAAAACCCCATCAATAAAACCTATGCAAAAGGCCACATTTTCCTAACTTATAGGAAGTTCTAATAAGACATAGCTGAACCAGTTCTAAATAGCTTTACGATTTAGATAAGATTCTCTATTGCAGTGGGAATCAGCATTGAAAAATACTTTACAGCCCATAAAACCATCAGAAACAGAATAAAAGAAACAGAACTAGATATTCAGTCATAAATGCAAATTGACTCTCAACAGTCCATCTGCTCAAATACGCTCCTCACTTCCTTGTGGGTCCTCAGTGGAGCAGATTATTAAGGTCAATAAGCATACTAATGATTCAGCTGAAGTAATTTAAAAAAAAAATCTACCTCGACATTCCACATGAGCAAAATGTGTGTTAACTAAACCAAACTGAATTAAGCCAATTTTTTAAAGCCACAGTCTATAAGGACCTAATGTAATACACGGGCTATAGTTCTTTGAATAAAAAATATTCAGTGCTTTCTCTACAAGGTAAACAAAGAATGCCAAGCAATTTTTCCAACCCCACATATGCATTATTTACCTTTGGCCTGGGCAGCAGAGCTGTGTGAATAACCTAGAGACAGCAATGCCATTTCTATCAGCTGGTTGAAAAGCATATCCTTTCTCACCAACACAAACTCCGCATGTTCCTCCTTGCAATCATACTCAATGGCGTTTTCATAATGTTCTACCACACAGAAAACTGGTAGCATGGTTCCTATCCAAAAGGTGGAGAAAAACAGGTGGAAAATCAACAATCTTTAGAAATATAAACTAGGGGGAGGGAAAATTAAGCCATGAAAATAAATTTTCACAAGAGTAAGATAAGAGGAGACTGTGCTTCCAAGGCAGACTGGGTACAGAAATATAGGCACAGGCACACAGATATGCACTTTATTTTATAAAGTTGGAAGAGAAATACTCAAATAGAATGTGAACTTGGGGGTGGTGCCTATGGCTCAAAGGAGTAGGGCGCCGGCCCCATATACTGGAGGTGGCAGGTTCAAACCTGGCCCCGGCCAAAAACTGCAAAAAAAAAAAAAAAAAAAAAAAAAAAAGAATGTGAACTTGGACCTAAGGTAGCTTGGGCTTTGCTCTAATATTAACAGTGCATGTTCCAAAAGCAATGAGTGCACAATTGCCTCTTTGATCAAATAAGGCTACTGAGAAATAAAAGTGAGTCTTCTCTGATTTGCTGTGAGTGGTATACAACATGCAAACATAATTCACTACAGTTCTCTTCAGATGAACCCACCTTCCTGCTGCCTATACCATTTTGTTAGTAATAAACTTTTCCTATTTGTATCTAAACTATCTTTGAATATAAAATTATCATTTCTTACATTTTTTAAAAAAAGATATTTACTCTAACTGGTTGCATAAAAGAAAGAAACATACAACTTAACCAAACTGATGCACATATTAGATAATTTCAATATGTGCAAATTGTAGCTAAATAACATTTGGTTTTATGACAACTCATATAATCTACCTGACAAAAGAGATATCCCAGAAACCGTAAGCCTTTAAAATCAACAATCTTTGTTACAGTAAATGGGTTAAAATGAGAGAGAAGAAAGGAAACTGGTCTCATCAGGACATATTAGGATAAGGGAATCTGTATAGATTTGATGTGTTCGCTTTTTATTTACTTTAATCCAATGTAATAACTCAGTAGCTAGATGATTAATAAGCAGAGGCCATACCACAATTAGAAAAAGGCTGCTTCTAGAAATGGAAATCACGGAATGCTGTGGCACTCAAGGTGTTTACGCAGTGAGTGCACTGTCAGATTTCCAGCGGTAACAGAAAAGGGTTAAAAGCAGATGCATCTGAATTGTACTGTGGCAAACTGCCAGGAGGGCATCATCTTTAGCATAAATGATGACAAGGGTTACTTTAACAGGGCACCCAGGATCCCCAATTAGTCCTACAACATTAATGCTTCTATAAGCTTCATCCTCTGGACTCACAGAATCCTACCAACTTCTGAAGATGTCTAGTGCATACCAACCGTAGCTAAAAATCAGGATATCTTACTGACACCAGAGAGGCCCTTTAAAAATTCTCCATTTGCTTGTTTCTAGTGAACAAGAGCCAGCAATAAAACAGCTACATTTTTCTACATGTGTGTCTTCACCAAAGCTTCAGTGAACTGTTCACAAGAGATTCGGGCTCTGACAAATAAACCCCTTTAGGTTTACTTAGAAAAGCTCACAAACTCATTCGGAGGTACCAACAGGCTAGGAATGAAAAACAAGCCGTAGAGCTTGCCAATATTTTTGTCATTCATTCAGCTGTTTTATACCAGCGAGAGAACCCGTCAGGGATCAGAAGACGACTTGGGGAGACCATAGCAAAAATAGCAATATGCAAACTAGTGATTTCTTCCTTGGCTTGAAGGTATTTTGGCAAAATTTCCTAAACAAATAAAAACATTCAACCCCCTTTTCTTAGATGCTTTCTCATCTCAGCAACAATTTTTATCTAGCACCTGTCAAACAGAAACCATGCACATAAAAAATAAGATGGAAAAAAAACAAAACACCAAAATGCTTTAGTAATTTTCTTGTTTGGAGTAAGCAGAGGCCCCTTTACAATTAAACTGCATTTTAAAAATATTTCACTATGAAAATAATACATCAAAAAGGGGGAGCATTGGAACAGGAAGTGAAATTACTGTACTTTGGTTCCTTTTCCTCATCTTGATGTCTTCAAAGAGTTGAGTTAGTACAACAAAAACATATACGATGATTTTTTTTCTCTTCAAGGTTGAAACAGATGTGTTCAACTATATGTTGCTCCTCAGACTTTTGAAGTTAACGGTAGTGCTTTTAAAATTATTGAAATATACTGCATGTATTTTGGACTTCACTGATCAAATTTAGAGAACTCAGAGATAAGAAAGGCAGCTACAGATAAAGTAACAACAGTATCATCAAATTATGAATCTAGCTGCTAAATCTTAGCAAACTGTTGCGGCTGCCCTCCTGTTACTAGGAGTAATGCTGGACAGAAGCCTTTCTCTGAACTGATGATTCCTGCTAGTGTTTGGCCAGACTTCCAACTACAGCAACTTCATAACCTTCCAGCATTTAAAGGGGAGAGCACTGGTCACTGTTGAATGCTAAAAATATCACATGATTTAAACCTGAAGGCAGTCTTAGAAGCTTTTGCTGAAGGTTTATGAGCCTGTGTAAACAGCACGTCTGCCATAAGGAGCAGTGAAGTCTGTAGAATCCTTGTCTAAAACTGTCCTGGCATTAAAGTTTGCTGTGCAAATATCACATAATACCAGAGACAGCTGAAATCTCCTATTTAGGAATTTATGGAACTTATATGTTTGCAGGCGTCAGAAAGTCTTTTTTATAGAGCCCCAGTGCTTCACAGTACAATATTAATGCACTCTGTTTGAAAAGCCATAATAAATTATATTTTTAATGCTCTTATCCTGGCTTTCTTAAGATGCATACATTCTTGGCAAACAATCAATAAATAGGGTAATCATGAGTAGAGGCCAAAGAATTTGCTGAAGTGCTGTTTTTCCATTTTTAATAGATAAAGATCTAACAATACGGACTGCTGTGTCTGTTCATTTCGGGATCAATATATTCTTTGTTTTCGGCAAACCAAGGAAAAAATAAATGATTGTATGATAAATGTTATGCATCAAACACAATGAAATTCCTCTGCCTTCTAACTTTATCTACTTAATATTCTTGGTTGCTAAAATATGGCATTTTTACCCATTGCTTAGCAAATGTAAGGAAAATCTGATTCCTATACACGTTATTCAGAGACAAAATAAAGCCCACGAAGAGGCACATGCATTATACTCAAGACAGGCACTGCTTTACACAAACAGTGTCGACCACTAAGTTGTTAAACTTTTATCATTTTAATACTGGCAGAAAAATGTCACACAGTTAACACATTTTCCCCTTATAAATTTGTCTAAACTGCCCTTCCTTTACCAAAAATACCTAATTATAGCAAACATTAAAAACTAAACTCATCAGATTTCTCACTGTTAGCTAATAAATTTACCCTTGAGAAAATAAACCACCAAAAAAATGAGATCAGAAAACTTCTAAATCATCTTATATAAGATTTCCATACTCCCTATAACTGCCTTACAGCTAACAATACCACAACAAAGCTAGGGCATTTCTCAAACAATCTGTCATTTCTAGTCAGGCTGAGTTTAAGCAATAGCTACCTACATATCCTCCACTATAATAACCGACTCTTCCATCAACTAAGACCATTATATTTAATTCAGTGCTTATTTCCCAAAAATATCCACTGAGTCCAGCCTGTAGTAAAGATGCTCCACCCAAGTATGGAGCCTATACTTTCAAAACGTGATTAATACTGACAACCCAGAACATAACTAATTTAAGCCCAAAAAGAGAAAACAAGGAAAATACAAAAGCATGTCCTGCCATTCCACCCTCACACAGTGTGACCCTGGGTAGACACCAGGACTTGCAGACTCCAGGATTTGGCTCCATAGTATTTACCTTTCCTAAGGTTGGTTTTCATCAGATGGCCCGAGTGTTTTAAAGGCACTCCCTGCATTTTTGCACCTGTACTCCCAAGCCTTCCTCTTCCTAGCGGGCTTCCGTTCTGCTCCAGGCGGGCAATCTTGGCTGGTGGACCCTTTGGATCGCTCACATTGTTAGACATTTCTGAATGTTCTTTCCCCTGAGTTGCCTCGTTCAAATGATCCATACTCAGTCACTGTCTAAAGATCACCTGCCGGAATTTAAAAAGAAGACGATATGTTATAACTGGGTAGGGATGTATGTATGTTTCCCTTGTAAATGTTTCACCTCTAGATATCTCTCTCCACAAATACAATGTATTTGTAAAATTGCATACCTAAATAGGATACAGATGTCACTAGGCTTCTAGATAACAGTACTGAATTTGTAGTCAAATTAGCAGAATTTATGGAAACTATACCAATACACAAAAATAAAAAGGTAATTTGTAATCTATAAACAAAACTAACTGGGAGAAAGGGGCTTGCTTTTAGAACATAAATATCACAAGTATGGCTAAAAAGAAAATAAATTGTATTTATGTATCCCCATTTTAAAAAATTAGAAACTCATTACAGAATATAACAGTAACACTTTAATAAAGAATGAAAAGATTATTATAGCCCCAAATATTAGTTAAACTTAAAAGGATATGTTTAAATGTTTACATATAGTTTAATCTTCATGAAAAAAACACATAAAATATCTCAAAAGAAGGTAGCCAACATCTACCTGCTTTTTAAATTCCCCATTGGCTTTCTGTAAGTTCATGTACAGAAAAAGTTTTCTACTATCAAAACTGTGAGTTTTCAAGGATTATGTGACCTGTTAAAGATCTAGTCAAATCTTAGGCCAAACATGTGATTGGATCATTTCACCCCCTAAGCAGACAGGAAGAAGTGGAGAATTTCTTCAAATATCCCAGGTGCAAAAACATTACAACTCATGTATTTTAGAATTAATATTTAGGTGACCATTAGTAACAGAATGCTGTTGACAATTTAGATAGTAAAAAACTCATAAATACTTTGTGACATGCACATTAGTTGAAGTGCCAGGCTCACTTTTAAAAGGAAATCCTTGATCATACTGGAAAAACACAATCTCCAGTATTCAAAAATAACCCCAGTAGGCAATGAAGTTAACATGGTAATTAACTGCAGAAAAAAATTAACAGATAATTATTTGCAGTTATATTAGACATCAATTTTCATACTGTTTATAACAAAGTAATTAGTATAATATCAAAGTCACTTCTAAAATAGAGTTCTGATAAGAACAGGTAAGAATTATTTTGTAAACTTTCATGGTACTTGAGATACTATGCTTTCCAAACTAAGGAGATCAACCATATTTAGGAAAACCAGAGAGAATATGATAATTAGCATTTCTTCCAGTTGCCTAGTAATTTGACATAGCTTTTATTTAAAAAAAATTATTTATACCAAAGCTGGATTTGGATTTATTCAAAGCCAGTTTCTCATTAGCACAGTTTTTCTATAACACTTTTTTCTTCTTTTTAAACCATAGTCTACTTTTTTTGCATATAATCAAGAAAAGAGGGGTAGCAACGTTAAATTGGAGGTTTAAAAGCAACCTTAAGAATGCCAACTGAAGAACTATAAAGTTTGAGAAATAATAATGGCTATTTATCTTTGTACTCCAGAGTGGCACACAGAACTAAAGGTTTACCGCTGATCGAGGTCCCATCTGTTTTTGGTTATGAGGTTCATTAACAATAAATGTGCCTTTTTTAACCACTTTTTATCAAGATTACTCTTTTCCATTATGTTAAACTGTAGTGTAAAGCCAAAATTAGAGAGCAATGACTATTAACTCATTCAAAACCCTCTTTACAATGTTTTAGGTGGGTTATAATACAGAGCTGCTTTTTCTGAAATTTGTTGCTTTATCCTAGAGCAAAAGATGAATTTTAAAACACATGATTTGAAAAGGCAATCATGAACCCTTAGGGCAATTTAGAAGAAAAAAGGAGAAAAAGTAAACAGTATCAAAGTTAATGCTATAAAACAGATTAATCATGAGGCTTAACAGCACAGCAAACTGTATAGCAAATGAAAGTGGTAGATATTATTTAGTTACTGTATTGACAATCAAAATATCATATAGGTCATGCAAAACTGTCCTTTGAATACCCAGTTACAAGCATCTATTAAACACTAAGTCACCCCCGTAAAAAGCTTTACATTATAAAGCAAAATTACATGCACGTAAAACACCCAATTTCCTCATTTAAACTCTATGCCCAAGGCTAAAGTTCACCAAACCTCAGTTTGGGATTGAAAAGAGCAACCTCCAACAGGCCTGCCCGGACTGACAGCAGCAGGAACTAGCTGTGGTCTCAACAGATGCCAGCTGAAGAGTTTCTTTTGAGTTACACATGTTAAAATCCATTTAGTGTAACGTCTGGTTGGCATACAAGATGCTTGCTACTTTCTGAAAATCCCATTTCTCTGCCTATAAACTAAGACCATACATGATAATTACTGAATAAAACAGTGAACTCAGTCACAGCAATTATTTCCTTTAAAAAGAAAGAAAGAAAAGAACGAAATTCCGGCTTCAAGAACCTATTTTTTGCAACGTGGGATCCTTTTCAATGAGTTTCTAGCTGGATCGCCTCCCTCGCCCCCACAGAAGCCTATAATCACATTTTAAGATTGTGCCCTTATCCATTCCATATGGCCGGCACGATCCAGGCCAAGCTTTCATTGTGACCTTTTAAAGAGACAAAGAAGCAAAGTACTATCTAGAAACAGAAACACTGCAGTTTTACTGAGTGAAATTAGCAAAACCGACCTGAAACTCACCACTTCAAAACTTGACAGCATATAAATAACAAAAACAAAGGAGATTTCCTTTGCAGCCCGGTTCTTGAAGAGAAGTTCAAGACTGATGTTTTCTATGTCCTTTTTTTTTTTTAATTTAAAAAAAAAAAAAAGGCAGCAGACCTGAAGGCGACTTCCCCTGAAATTGTATTATTTTCCCTTCCCCTACCCCCGCCCCCCTAAGCGGGGGAAGGGCAGAAATACACATCTAGAAGGGTAGCCATGAGAGAGGGGTTTAAAAAAAAAATCACAATTCGAAAAATAATATATATGGGGTTTGTAAAATGTCTAACCTCAGAGAACGGGGTTTTCAATGGGGAGGAGGGAGGAGTGGGAAGCCGAGAGGAGGAAGAAGATAAAATTGATCTGACAAGTGATTCGGTGGGGGGGGGGCAAATCGTAAAAACAAAGCAAAACCCGTTATGAGCTGTACACTGTGGTGGTGCTGGGGAGGCGAGGTGGTGACTGAGGATTCTCTTTAAAAGAAAAAAAAAATCACTGCGGACAAGGTCTCCAAAAAGGAAATGAAAAGGTCCGCTAGGCTCCCTCCCTCCTGCTGCTCGCTCGGGTTCTTCGGTGTGAGGACAGAAAGTCTACTTCTGGCTGTCACTTGCAATATTATTCTCCAATAACCCCGGAGAACGCAGCGAGGGGAAGGCCACCTCGCCTCCCTTCCAATCACTCCCACCGCCTCCCCGACCACTGCGACTAATATTAACAAACCTTAAACTTTTCCCCACAGCCTGGCACCCCTAACGAGGGCATCTACTGAGGGACAGCGAGAGTTGGGGGCAGAGAGTCGCGAAAAAAGCCTCGGAAAGGCACTAAAATGCCACTTTTGATTCCGTCCTTACTGACGACAGCCCCGAGGACCCTCTCCCTTTCCATTGACACGGGGCTGTGAGCGTCTAGGGTCCCAGTGAGTGAGGGAGAGAAAGAGGAATTGGGGGGGAGGGGGAGGAGGAAGAAGAGCAGAAGGCACCCCCAGCCACCTCCACCGCCTAGGCAGCGACAAACTCCCCGCCCCCTCCCCCCCAAAGTCGCCAAGCTCTCACTCCGCCAGAGTCCGAGGTAAACAACGAGCACCACAATGGCACTAGGACTTGGGGAAAAAAGAAACCCAGAAACCCCGGCAAAACTGATTAGGAGTTTCCCGAAACGAAAGAGGGGGGTGGAGAGCGTCCTCTGGAGTCGCCCCGGCTTTAGGCTCGGTCTCCGGGCGGGCTAGAGGGTGGCTGTTGCTGTTGTTGTTGTGACGAGGCCGGTTGTTGCTGGGTGGCACAGGGAGAGGTGTGTGTGTGTGTTTGTGTGTGTGTGCGTGCGTGTGAGCGCGAGTCCCCGGACGGGGCCGTTTCTCTCTCTCTCTCCCTCGCTCGCTCTCCCCCTCGCTGCCGTCTCTGCCCCCATTAAATTATTAGTTG